CTGTCTCTGTGCCCCCGCTCTTACGGCTCGCCTCCTGTTTACTCCAGCGGCTCGGGGGACTTTACCCTGGGAAACCACATTCGCCGTCTAGCCTCCTGCACAGTACCGACAGCACAGTGTAGGTCAATTGAATAGGTTGAAGACGGGATTGCGGCTTCGAAAGCGAAGACCGTGTTCATGTAGTCGCGGAATGTTCGTTGTACAAGAAGGAGAGGGAAGTGTACGTAACTGAGCTGGGAAAAATAGATGGAACGTACAGGGAGATGTTTGAGGCATGGAATAGGGAGGAAAGGACGGTAGCTGTAGTGGGGCATAGGAGGTGGGTTGAAAAGGTGGGAAGGGATATCGTTAGGATAGACAGACTAGGGAAGACATTTTTGAGCCACCTTTGGCAAAGTAGGAAGAATAAATTGGCTATCGGTGATCGGTCCTGTGCAAACAATGCTCCGTCCTCTCGAGGACGCGTGGTCAATGGTCTAACCACTAAGACATGCAAAACATAAGAGTAAGCCCCCCCCCCCCCCCCCCCCCCCCNCGCTTGGCCTCCTTCTTGTCGCAGCCTACCAGCACCTCGTCCAGCTGGGTCAGGACAGCCTTGGCCCTGTCGCCGTGCCGCCATAGCGACTCTTGCCGGAGCCACGCCTTCAGCCCTTGCACCTCGGCCAGCAGGGTGAGGGAGGCGTCCGCATCCGGGGAGTCCTTCACCCTGTTATTTATTTATTTTTCGATTTAGCGAAAGCAGCCTCCGCTTGTGGTTCCACACGACAAGCACTTCCGCCCAGAGTGGCAAGGCTCATGACGCCCAAAAGAGCAAAGGACAAGACCGATCTCTGCCACCGCTAACTACCCCCCCGTGCTCCTGCAATGGTGGTCGTGGTCGAGTAGATAATGTTTTGCGGGGTCGAGAACCCTCACTCCGCGCAAGGGGGATGATCGCACCACTTTGTGTTAAAATGGTCAAGCACCCTCGAGGCAGTTACACAGTGATTATAACTGTCTCTGGAAGTCAAGTGCCAGAAAATATATTAAGTCATACGCAGCTGTCATCCGTACGCAAGGAAGTAAGCACAAGATGCCGAACACCCTTAGCAGGATGCAGCGCACCCTTCATGCGACTCGCCGAATATCTCACGGCGCTTCGCGCTTGGTGATGTGAGAGCCTGGTCCGGTGAGAACCCGGCGTGCTCCGTCCCGGCTTTGTAGGGATGCGAGGTCAATCGTCTAACGACTACGGCATGCACGACTATGAGTACATCCCCCACCCCTACCACCGCCCTGTGTTGACGTACTTCAGGAAATCAATGCAGTCCACCCACAATCGGTCTTGCGCCATAAGGCGAAGACAGAGAACACGGATCAATATCTCCCTGTGACTTCGACACTCACACCACAGCTCAGAGAAGGGTAAATCCGCCCTAATACACGGCACGCCCGGAACGTTCAAGACAACAAGATCTAACATCAATCGGACGAAAACAACTTCTGGCTGGGGCTGGGACTGCGGTTACTCACATCCGCAGCTCCGTCGATAGCCTCTCCAACTCGCCCCATCCCCGCGCTTCCGACACGGCCAGCTCCACCCCCGGACACTCAAGCAGCTCCAGCACGAAGTTCCTCGCACGTATAGCTGGATGCCACAAGAAAAAAGCGGCAGAAAAATAAATAAATAAAAAACAGTCAGCAGTCAGCAAGAAAACAGGCCGCCGAGAGCACCGGAAGCATGTGACAAAAAGTAACAGTACAATCACAGAATATATTTTCAAACGATTACGGGATACTGTACTTGTACAGAGGTATTTTGTGTTTGGAGTTGACCTTGGCGTCGCTAACTATGTGACCAGCTGCGCAAACGTCTTGGACCATTGACCTTGCCGTACGGGCGATAGTGGTACGTTCCCGGTGCGATACCATCTGTAGTATACGGCGCCAAAACTTAACAACACCACCATGGCCTCTCAATAGCCTTGCCTGTAGCCTACAACACAGCACCCGTATCGTTCTTGCACGAATGGTTCCTCTTGTACGAAAAATCCGCCGGTTAATGGGACCTACGGGATCTACGGTCGTCCCTGCCAGAGGGCAGTCAGTCTCAATCAACCAACCAGCACCCAGTCTACCAAAAGGCACCTGCAACGATGTCCACGGTGCTTTGCGAATGCAGCCGTGCCCGAGAAGCCTTCTCCTCGTCGCCGTAGATATCACGATTCCTGCCCTTCATATCGGTGACGAAGGCCTCCGCGTTAGACATCACCTCCACCGCGCCCTCGTCGGAGAACTTGTATAGCTGCATTTTTTTTTTCCGTTGTTGGTCGTGTTTTTTGGGGGTCGTAGTAAACCAGCGAGAATGGCGACGGCAGCAGCGGCGGAGCAGGGTCGAGGGCATGGGTTAGGAAAGAACGGTGCTGAAACTAACCAACAAGCGGGAGTGCCGTGGCTCGTTGTCGCTCGTCACCCTTGCTATACCGGGGGCGCCACTTCCTACGATTCACTTATTGCCCGATTTGCAAGGGGTACGGGGAAGGGCAAGGGGGGGGGGGCATCCTTTGGGGCCGTCAGGACCAACATGACCGATCGGGAGTGGTCGGAGGATTCACTGCGTTCGCATGCCTGGTTCACCGTGGTATGTAGCTGTATTGTTGCTTCGTTCCCTTCGGCGGCATCACCCGGGTGCGGCCGTTTCAACTAATTATTTACATTTCTTTTTACCGCGCTGGGCGCGGCGGGGACCGCTCGTGGGTTTCCGGGGACACCCTCCCTCCAAACTTTGGGAAATTCAACATCGGGTCCCTCGTAGAGGCCGTCGTCTGCCCTCGTTCATACAGTAAGTCACACAAAGCACCACACACGTTCAGGGACACTTCTCCTCACCAACGAAGAAACCTCTCGCCGTTGCCGACACAGAAAATCTCTCGAAGCGTTTAACATAGGGGCAAGAAGCAGTGAGGAAGACGAAACCGTCGTAACCGTAGCCCGCATGACAAACAAACAGCAACATAGGCCTCCAAACAGCCTTCAAGTCTATCTAGCTCGGCCCGAAACGGCCTTCCTTACCCGTCGGAGGGCTCTCGACAGGACGGCGGACGCGGCTCCGTCCCTCGTGGGGTCGAAGGCATCCTTCTTGCTGGCGGGCTTGCTCTCCTCCGACACCAGCTGAATCACCTCGTGCACCTGATCACCATGTCGTTTGTTGTTACTCCGACCGGATGGTTTTAAATTGTGTATACGCACAAAGCGGAGTGATAGTGACACCAACAGACGACTACAATGGTAACGTGTGAGTTTTGCCTTGTGTTATTATTTACTTTGTGCTTTGGTTTTTCAGCTCTGGGGACGCAGTATCCACGGAGAACGACCGAAGCACGCGCATGCAGGGGCGACGGTCGACGGAACGGGACGCGAGGTGACGGGATGGGAAACAAAACTCGTGGATCTATCCCACCAAGCACCCTGGGGGTTGGGTGGTGGTTGGTTGGCAAAAAAACAGGAGTTAAAATCATCTCAGCGTTGTTCCGGTTGAAAGACGGAGGAGCAGCCCAGGTCCGACAACCGGGCGACAACGAATCACGGAACGTCAACATCGTCTATCTACGCTTTCCCTGCAGTGCAAGGGCTCTCGACAGAAGCTTGCCCATCAATCATTGGCCGATTCGATGGAAAGCACTCCTTGACGGGGGCTGCTGCTTGTGCTTGGAGGATGGTGCTTCTACGGACCGCTCTAGGTAGCAATTTGTTTTCAAGACGACACTCCGTCAGAAGGTGGATTGTGATTCCACGGACAATGATTACCGTTTGCAGCTCGTAACGTACCGTGCGCGTGAATCAAAGTAGGTCGGTACCTCAACTACACGGCAGCGGAACCGAACGCCCGAAAGACTTGAAAATGCGCGACCGTCGCTGACACTGAAGAACGCTCAAGAGAGTCTCGAAGTGTCTACCCGTCAATACACCAACCACACAAACAAAGTACCTTGCGGGGCTTATCGGTGCTGTCAGCGATGTGGAGGCTCGAGAGGGACTTGTGAGGCGGGGGGTTTAGCAGGGTCCTCAGGTTGAACCTGATGAGGGCCGACAGCATGATGGCGAGCCTCTGCCTGAGCGGGCACCTGGTAGCGGGGACCTGTTTGTATTATGACCACGGGGCCGAACCGTGTTGACTATTGAGGACGGCGACACAGCAATTCAGCTCAGACAGTATTCGCTGCAGCAAACCTTCACGCGCCATTGATGAGTGACTGACCGAGGAAAATATTGCCGAGAGATCAACAGGTTGGGGGATCAAAGACGTACGCGTCTAGACGAGGGGACGAGGGCCAGAGAAAGGTGGCGTTGGCCGACTAGATAAAAACGATGACACGGTTTACCGGAAACAATGCATATCACATCATCTTCAAGACAACGACAGCTTATCGCCGTGCCACCGCATCCCGAGGCTCACTTATAATTGGTTCTTTAACACTAACGCACATTCCTCCGCCCGCCCCCCTCCGTGGCAACAGCCTTCGGCGCGACATCGACAAGGGCGAGGCAAGACTTTGCATCATTAAGTTACCACGACGGACAGCCCCCCCCCCCCCCCCCCCCCCCCCCCCCCCCCCCCCCCCCCCCCCCCCCCCCCCCCCCCCCCCCCCCCCCCCCCCCCCCCCCCCCCCCCCCCCCCNTGGTTCTTTAACACTAACGCACATTCCTCCGCCCGCCCCCCTCCGTGGCAACAGCCTTCGGCGCGACATCGACAAGGGCGAGGCAAGACTTTGCATCATTAAGTTACCACGACGGACAGCCCCCCCCACCCCCACCCCCCCGCACCCCCTTTCCCAGCTGCGTACCTCAGCTCCTCCTTCCAGGGCCTCAAACGATTCCAGCAGCAGCGCCGCAGCCCGCTTGACAACCTTCGTCGAGATCTCGGTCCCGAGCTCACGACACGCGGCTCTCACGCTGGAGACCAGGGGGCACGAGTCAGGCTCGGCGACGCCCGCGACCGTTTTTAGCCCGCGCATGAATGCCTTCACGGCAGACGCTAGTCCGCCGCCGATCCCGCCGTCCGCAACCGCTGCCGCTTTCCCGGCCCCACCGGCGCCGCTCGCGCGCTTCGGCATGCCCTCCTGGAGGAGCTTTGACGAGGCGACCACGCGTGCCAGACACTGCGCGACTTCCTTGGCTGCGACGCGGGTCACGCCCAGGGGCGGGGGAAAGGGTGAGAGTTTGGTGGAAAACGAGAGAAAACTTTTCGGCGCCGCAGGTACGAAGAGGGCAGGCACCAGTTTCGAGAACGGGCACAGCTGTCGTGTGTTCGCTGTGTACTCTACGATGTCCCTACGTTTCCGCGGTCAAGACGTAGTGCTAATCCTGGCACAGACACGTCCCCACATCACGCTTCGAGCGGCACGACTAGAAAAATTAATCCACGTTATCAACCGCAGCATCAGCAGCAACAGCAACAATAACCTACCTGCAGCGTCGGAATCCTCGATGGCGTCCGTGGGCATGTCGACGGTTGACAGATCGAAAGCGCAGAAGCGCACCCCCTTCTTCTTCTTTCCCTCGGCTGCCTTCGCCGCCGCCACCGTCCCCGCTGCCGCCCCCGCCCCCGCTGATGGCGGAACCGTTTCCCCCGCTTCCGTTCCTGCCCGAAGCTCGTGCTTCATGGCACACGCCTCCGTCGCTACTATCGTCGTCAGGAAGGATTCGAACTGACGCATCGCTTCGGGTGGCACCGACGATTGCAACGAAGATGCTCCCCCCGGCCCCGACGCCTGGATTTGCCGAGCGAGAGAACACAAAGCACAGCAGGGGGTACGCAGAAGTAGGGCGGCGTTGAGAGGGTGTACTCCTTGTCGGCTGGATTTCGGTTGTCGATCCACATGTGCATGAAGGCAACGTGACAGGTGGTATGGGGCGGGGGCGGGCGGGCGTACGTTGTGCGCGCTTCGGTATATCCGCGCTTTGTCCGTTCGCCGTCCGATCCTAAATTACACAGGCAAGTCGACTGCTTCCTTTTGGCAACACCTGGGGGGTCTAAGAACAGCGGAGGGATTGGCGGTCGGGGGGGGAAGCATTGGGAGACAGCAGTATTCAGCGCAATCATTCATCGTCGTGCCACAAATTGCATTAGACGTAGAGAATTCTTTCCAAAAAAATTGTTCACCTTCTGCATCAAGACACGCGCCGTTGCTAGCACTCCCGTCAGCGCACCCCGCGGCCCCCCTTCCGCCCCGCTCCCGTCACCGACCCAAGACCTCGAGGAGGCAGCCTCAAAGATGTCTCTCGCGGTAACACCGTCCGTTACCTCAGCCCCATACGGCAGCAAACGCTCTGCCACCACCGCCTCAGTCACCGCTACCTCTACCTCCCTAGCATTCGGCTTCGCTTTGGAAGCTTCCCCTGCGCAGCCCCCTCTCGGCTTCGGCTTAGAAACACGCCCTCCCCCCGCTGGAACTCCCACCCCTGCACAGCCCCCTCTGGCCTTCTCCCTGCCGCCGCCGCCGCCGCCGCCTTCGGCCGTCTTCGTCGCCGCTGCCTGTTGCGACGGCGGCGTAGCTGCCAAGAGCTGCAGAGCGGCGGTGTCGAACAAGTCGTCTACGGCCATTTTAGCCGCGGTGGCGGTGGCGGAGATGCTATCCGTCGGCGACGTGGTGGCAGCCCCGACAGCAGCGGCGGCGGCCAAGAAATCGCTCGTGGCCTTGGGATGACTCTCACGAGAAAGCGGGGGAGCAGCAGCAGCAGCAGCAGCAGTGGCACAGGTAGCAGCGGTCGCCCCCCCGCGGAAGCGGTTGGCTCTGATCCACTTCGTCGAGTTCGCAAGAGCCGCAGGCTTGCGCTTGGCGAACGGCGGCGCTGGCTGCTGCGAGGTGGTAGCGTCGTCCGTAGTCCGACCACTCGGATTTTGAGACGCAGCATCAGCAGCACCACCAGCCCCACCCGCCGCTTCTGCTGTAGGTTTGACAGTCTCGGCAGAGGCAGAGGCTGCAACCTGAGAAGCAGCCGCTGGAATGACAGCCGCGGAGGTTGCCGCTGTCGCAGCAGCGGCGGCACCGCCCTCCGAGAAAGGGGCATGAGAAACGGAAGCGTTGTCGACGGAACTTGCTTCCCGGCCGGAACTTTCCGAGCCTTGCCCGATCGCAAGTGTTGGTTCCAGCTTTGGTACCAGGCCCTTTCTTTGGTCTAGCTCTGGCTCCGGGCTCCGGGGGCCGCCGGCTCCGGGTTCTTCGTCACCGAGTTTGACCGGGGCCTTCACCAGCCTACCCAGAGAGGCGAGCCAAGATTCCAGCATGAGGGTGGCAACGTACGGATCGGGTCAACACAACACGCCAGAAAAGGGGCGGTACGTGACTACCATGGCCAAAAGGCAGTTCATTCTGCTCTTTGGGGCAAGCAAAGGACAGTTCGAAATAAGACGAAAAGGCTAGTAGGGGGAGATGCTTCGTAACGATTGCAAGAGGAGAACTGCAACTACAGGAAAACCAGGATATGCGCGACGGTACAGAAAGAATACAGGCAGGATATTAGGGACCAACGAAAAAATGAATGCTTGTTGCCCTCGGCGCTCTTCACTCACCCAGGCTATCAGCACTTCCTACGGGGATGAAACACTCACCTCATCGATCGCCTCCTCTTTTTCTTCTCCGATTCCTTGCCACTACCCTCGACGCCGCTCTCCCCGCCCTCGACGCTCCGTGCCCCCGTGTTCAACGGCTCCACGACGGCTTCAGGCTTGCGCGACCTGCCCTTGCCCCTCTTCTTTTTCTCGCCGGGACCGGAGTCCAACGCCGCGCCGCTGCCGCTTCCAACCGCCGCGATCGCGCCGCCCCCCTGGTGCGACCAAGCCCCGACCATGCCATACCCGTCGCCGTCGCCGCCACCCCAACCGCCGCCGCCCATGATAAGCCCGACCGAGTTGCTGCCGCCCACACCGCCTACATCGGCGCAGAAAAATCTGTCATCAATGTCTCCCGTGGGCATGGGTACCTCTTCGACGACAGCTCCCCCCACCTCGTCATGGTCTGTCACCGCTGCCGCTGCCGCCACTGCATGTACCGACGCTGCGCTCGGGAGTTCTGGCTCATCCGCGGGAGCGGCATCGGAAGAGGAGGAGGAGGCGTTCACGGAGTGCTTCCTATTTCTTGCTTCAGTACCGCCCACGGGCCGCTTCTGCCCGTGCGGCTGCCGCGCTTGCTGCTGTGGCAGCAGGGCTTGCTTGACTGGTTTCACCCGCTTGCTCTTGGTGTTGTGTGCCCTCAGCGGTTTCGTTTCCCTCCGTTGCTCCTGCTCCTGCTCCTGCTCTTGCGATATAGATGGCACCGCAGGGGACGACAACACCGCTGCCGGTGCCGTTGCTGCTGCGGCTGCCCCTGCGGCTGCCGCTGCGGTTGCCGCTTCCGTCTCGGCCGCCTTCTTCCTAGCTTCGTCGGCCTGCTGACGGGCAGTGGCTTCGGCGGTCTTCTGAAGAGCGGCCTCCTGCTTGCGCTTCTTCCTAGCCTCGCGTTGGCGCTCCGCCCTCTCTCTCTCCTTCTCTTCCTGGATGCGTTCCTTCTCCCTGGCTTCCCTCTCCTTCTCCGCACGCCGAGCGTTAAGCATCTCTCTGCGGGTGGTGGTAGGTCGTGCGGTGGCCACCACCGACTCGGGAGGGGTCGTCATAGCGGCTGCAGCATCGGCAGGGGCGGCGGATAGTGAATCCCCATCGGGGGCAGGAGCAGGGGTGGCGGTCGCGGCAGCAGGGGGAGGCAAGACCGAGTCCGCGGTTTTTCCCTGCTTCACAGCTGCTGCCTCTCGCGATTTTTTCTTCGCCGTCTCGGTGGCCGTAACGGGCGGGGGCGGCGGCACGTCGCCCCTCTCGACTCCGTCGTTATTATCCACCCCTCCTCGCCCGCCCGTGGAAGGGGCGGCCTGTATGAGCCTGACCAGCGCGTCCAGAGGAAGGCCTTGCGCCGTGTAGGCCGCAAGGAACCCGCAGAACCCTTTGGTCAGCTCCGGCAGCTCCACGCAGCCTCCGCCGCCGCTGGCCGTGCCGCCTGCGCGGCGGGAATGTGCTCCTGTCGGCGCCGTAGTCTCGTTCGTTGGCTCCACAGCGATTGTTCGGGGTCCGGTTCCTGGTGTTGCGCTTCCCCGGCCTCTCTTCTTTCCCGCGGTCGGCTGGGAAGACGTGTCCGCCGTCCGCGCGGCAGAGCCCCCTGCAGCGAGGGCCTCTAGGCTCGCCGCAAGGGACAGCACGTCCGACCGCCGGCGGAGTGAGGTTTCGCTCTCGGCTTGTTGCGTAGCCGCGGCGGCAGCGGCGGAGGCGGCGGCAACGTCAGCAGCGGCGGAAGCCCTGGCGGTTGCAGCCGCTTGATTAGCAGCAGCAGCGGTGGCTCTTGCGGTGGCAGCGGCCTGGGTAGCAGCCTTGGCGGCCGCAGCAGCCTTGGCAGCCTTGGCGGCCTCTGCCTTGAGGGCCTTGGTAGCCTTGCGAGCGGCATCTTCGGCTTGGGCGACGGCCTCCCTCTCCTCCACGCCGAGCTTCTCGGCCGCTTCGGCTCTCGCCGTGGCCGCCTTGGCCTCGGCGCGGGTCTGCGCGAGGGCGCTATTGGCCTCTTCGGCTGCGGCTTTCGCCTCACGCCGCAAGCTCGCTGCCTCTGTCTTCGCGGTCTCGGCCTCACGCTTTAGGCTCGCGATCTCCGCGCTGGCAGTCTTGGCATCACGCCGTAAGCTCGCCGTCTCCGTGCTCGCCATCTTGGCGTCGCGACGCAGGCCCGCTATCTCCGTGCTCTTGGATTTTACCTCGCCACGCAATCCTTCTGCCTCCGCGCTTACTCTGTCTACCCGCGCGTTTGACGCCTCCAGGTCGGCTCGCGCCCTGGTGTTCTGTTCCCGCAGCTGACGGATCTGCTCCTCTAGCTGGCTATTCCGTTCCTGCAGCTGGCTAGTCGCCGCCTCGGAGCTCTGAACCATGCTCTCCAGCTCCTGCTGCCGGCGTTTGAGCTCGAAGTTTTGGTTGACCATCTGGGTCGCGGTGGACCCTCCACCCCCGCCTCGCCCGCCGCCGCTGCTGCCCCCTTGCCGAGAAGGAGAGGTAGGCGCAGGGCAAGCCGCTGGAGCGGAAGGCATCGCCGTCTGGTTTTCATGAACGCAGAAGAATCGGGTGAAAGAGGGGAGAAACATGTGTCTGGGATTGATTGCGTGGATGCAGGAGAGTGCTACCAACATCCCCCACGCTTACGGGAAGCTACATTCTTTGCAGAGCGATTGTAAGTGCTACGCTATGATGTAGGCAGCAGCAGCAGCAGCAGCAGCAGCAATAGCAGCAATCGCTTCCGGCAACCCCCGAGCTGCGGATATCCTCTGATAATAAATTCTTGCCAACCATCGTTGTTGTGCCGGAAGGGCTAATTCGCTACTTTCACGACCGTCCCCAACAGACGCCCCCTCCACACCAGTGTTCGGTTGCTACGCACACACCTGGAGGAAGGACTGCTGATTCTGAAGTGGCCCCTTCCCCATTGGCCCCCGGTGTCCTCTCGGCGTCAAGGGAGGCATGGCGTTCTCGTCGTTGCGCGATCGATCCGCGAGAGAGATTCGCCTCGACGGCTTCTTTTTATTCGCTCCTCCTGTTTTCGCCAACGCCTCTTGTTGGCCAAACGAAAACATGGCACGCCCTGCCCTAACCCTTGCTCAGGTGGCGGCCCGTGCAAGCATTGGCGTATCCCTGTCTGAGCCCGCACAATGTGACCGTTGCTAATTGCGCGCGGGTTTTCCTCTCACGTGCAGCCACGGAGCCCCTCGCGTACCCTCATGTACCTAAAGTTCGTCCCGCGGAGCCTGGCCAGCGGCATCATCATGAGCATGTGAGTCTGGAGCAGCAGCCGACCAGGCCACGGGACAGATACACGCACCGCTCACCAGAGTGAGGCAAGCGAGGTCGACATGGACCACTGCGGAAATCACAGTAGTAAATGTGGGGCATTTCTTCTTTCTCTACTGGTGTTGATCGGGGATGTCCAAGCAACTACTTGCCGTCGTGCTGATGCTGGAAACACGAAGTCAGCACGAGCCGCACGTGCTACTTCTGCCGCTTTTGTTGCGAGTGGACGTTGCATCGGTGGCGTTGCACCCGGAAGAGCAAACGATCAGCGCGCCGCTCAGCACCAGCATGTAAAACACCACCATCTCCACGCCTCGAGGGACGCTGAGGAACGCAGCCTGTACAGAAAACGCGGTCGATTTCTTCGACGGCCGAGCGGAATTTTGGGCAGCAGGATGGCAACAGCGGTTGACGATGAGGATCAACAGCAACAACTGGAGCAGCTGCAAAAGCCAAAGGAGACTCGTGTCGAGATTGCAGAGGAGGCTCGCGTCGGAGGTCTGTCCCGAGCATCTTTTGTGCAGACCGCAGCAGGCTCGGCTGCAGCCGTCCTGGCACTCTCGCTGGTGAGTTGCGTGTAGACGTCCCGTCGATGGCGACGGAGATGGTACAGAACCGGCGGGTTGCCTGCTCGGCGTGACATGTGGCAACACACCGCCGTACGACGTAGATAGGGAATAGGGACTGTCAAGACAAGAGACAGCTCAGACACAGCTGTGGGGGCGAAACTTGAGAGAGAGAGAGAGAGAGAGAGGGAAGCACGGTGTTGCGCATCTGCATGCAACTCACTCTGTTTCGGTCGTCTCTCTCACAGCTTGCAAAACATGGCGCTTCATGTACAATATTGCTGGCTGTTGCACATCAGGTACAAGGTTCTGAGGCACACGCGTGCGGCGGACGAGAAAGACAAACGATAGCAGTCCTTCGGTAGAAAGCGTGCACGCACGTTGCTGGCATCGTAATTTCGGAAGCATGTGCTGTACTGCTGTAGTTCAACACCAAGCAGGAAATTCACTGCTGGTTACTCCCTCTCCTGCAACTTGCAGTAACTTGGTGCTCAGCGGAATGTTGGTTGATACGCTATTATTAATACCGTATATGACACAAGATAACACACCCCCTGACACCGATTTTCAAAGCTTGATTACTCCACGACGAAGAGGATGCATAAACAAAACGATACATTTTTGGAAAGCTCTCGACAAGACGGTTCGAACGCCGCCGTTTTCGGCGCCGTGACTCTTTGTGTTGTTGAGAAATAGAGATTTGAAAATCAGTCCAGGGGGTGTGTTATCTTGTGTCATTTACTGTAAGAGCTTTGGTTCCTGTTGGCCATTACTGTGATTTATTTTCCGCGCTGTCAAGACAAGACTTCAACATCTGTTCGACTGGGATTATCTTGAACGTCTAGTCCTTCGGTGATTGCATGTGTACACCTCCAGTGCTTTCTAATTATTCGAGGCGTTTTGATGCCTCTGTTGACTAGAGTTCGAGAAACACGTTTCGACGGTATGCATGTATTGGATGATGCCGGCTCCTGGGCCCGGCCCTGCATTCAGTATTGGACAACACTATTTCCCATGCAACTCTTTCGACGAACACTACACTTGATCACCTGATTGGCCTCTGCACCGATGGGCTTACCTTCGGGGGGGAATGGGGCTCTGGTCCGTGCCGGCACCGCAGGTATCGTTGCCCGCACCTACCAGCGCGCCCGTACCTCCCATGGGTAAGCCGTTCGGTGCAGAGGCCAATCAGATGTCGGAAGTAATCGAGCGTGTCCGTAAAAGAGTTGCAAACAAAGGGTCTTACCCTACCACTCACTGCCGTATGCAGGTCCGGGCTCGGGCGATGAGTTGGTCTAACAACAACGCGCGTTTTGGAGTCTACCAGACCCCCGGCTAGGCAGTTTCCTCGCCTCCCCCATCAACTCTACCCCTCCCGTGGCATCTGCTCACAACGCCTTGTCAGGCTGCGCTGCAACCTGAATTGTCGGCCCTTGGCCCAGCGAGAGTCGTAGACGACTACCGAAAAGTAGTACTATTGAAGCTGTTTCGACTCAACTTACCCGGGGCGCCGGGTGCAGAAAGGCGTTGTACAACCCGTGTTGCCGTTCACTCTTGAGCCTCTTGGTGTTCTCCTCCCATCGCCGAATGTTCTGCAACGTTGGGGTACATGGTCGGCCGTTTTCGTGGTCGCTGTAGGCAGCACAAGCTCGCGTCGCCATGTCGCTACACCGGTGTTCGGCGGTAAGAAACAAGACAGCAGTCGTTCCGTCCAGTGATGGCGAGGAGATGCTTCCACGTTATTATCTGTTTTGATGAAGGGTGGCGTTGACACACCAACGTGCCGTGCCGGCTGGCCCTTGCAGGCACCGAAGAAGGCGTTTTCCGCGTTCGAGGAGAGCATAGACATGACCTGGACGTCGGTCAACACCTTCGAGAAGAGCGCCGGGGTCGCTCAGGACACGTACTCCCCGCGGTTCGTGGCCTACCTCGCGCGATTCCTGGTGAACTACGACAGGTTAGCGCGCCGTGTGTTTTGTCTCCGGGAGGAGGTTAATGACGGAAGAGGCTGACACAGCAGCGGGCTCTCAAGTGTGCTGTTGTTCTACCGCTTGTGTTTGCCTGCGGGCGGAGAGGTAACAAACAACCAAGAGAGGAAGGAGGAGGCTGTCACAGCAAAGGTTTCAAGTGTGCGTTTGTTTGACTGGTAAAGCGGATCGTTGCACTTGCGTCTTCAAAGGAGCACATGGAGGTGCATGTTGGAGTACGAACTGTTTTATTTGTTTGGTGTCGATGTCGTCGCTGCTACTGCTGTTGTGCCGCGCGAGAGGCAGATGCTGCTTAGGTGTGATTTCTGGCGAACTGCAAATCAGGCGTGTTATATGTTGTTTGTTTCGTGTGCTGTTAAAGCATAGTAGCTACGAGGAGGAGTACAGATAGGCGTTCTCCTTCTTTGGATGCCCCTTTTCCCCGCCCTTGCCTCTTCGCCCACACACATTGCCCTCCCTGTCACCTTCCACTTCCCTGCCCCCCCCAACCCTTTTAGCGTGAGCGCGCACTGGTGGAGGAATCAGCAGACGTCCGTCTCCCAGGCGAGCGCGCAGGACTTCGCCAAGAGGCTCGTGGAGCATGGGGCGGCGGCTGTGTTCAAGGCATCCGATCTGGACGGCGACGGGACCCTGAACGAGGAGGAGTTTAGCCTGGCCATCGCGGACCAGCAGATCGGCTTTGCAAAGTTTGAGGTGCGGGGTTGGTGCGCCCTGCGAGCCGGCGGTGGCATTGTTGTAAAAGTCATAGTTCTCTTCGGTTCGATTCGAAGGTTCGATTCACTTGGAAGGTTCGACTTTTCGCTTCGACTATTCGATTCGTTTCGGATGGAAACGGTCTTTTAGTGTCAAGGCCTCGTTGCACGGCTTGGCGGGGAGATGCCCGTTGTGTGTGTGCATGCTTGTGCATGTTGCTTGCTTTGTGTCCACCAACCTCGCCGATACTGGGAAATGAAAGTCAGTAGTGGCAACGAAGCCACAACGTTGAAGCAGGGCATTATCCTCCGCGGGTATCTTACTAGGGAGAGGGGGGACTGGAGCCATGAGCCCCCAGCATGTTTCTGTTTGGTGTTTCGACGTGTAGGTGTGACCCTTCTCTGCCCTTGCTTCCTGGACCGCGCTTGCCGATTGGCCAAGAAAGAAAAGGACGAGGACTGAAACGCTTGTTTCTGCGTTCGATACTATTGGTGGCAATCACGAGCACCGTGCTCGCGTGTCGGTTTGTGTTTTTTGCGTTGATACATCGGTCGAGGGCGACGATTGTTGCTGTGTCGACGAAGCGCTCGTTTGTCGGTGTTTTTGCCAACCTCCTAGCCAATGAAGAATGGGACGGCGATAACAAATGAGTCCGTGCACCGAGGAAGAGCCGTGCGAAGCTGGGAGCGCATGGATTCTGATGAATCGACTTCGGTGTATTGTTGAAAAAATGTATCTCCCCCCTAGGAATATGAAGATCAATAGTCACACGACCACCGCATGCACGGGTATGGGTGCTCCGTCCGCTCGAGGACGCGTGGTCAACGGTCTAACCGCGTAGGCATGCAAAACATAAGAGTACCCCCCCCCCCCCCCCCCCCCCCCCCCCCCCCCCCCCCCCCCCCCCCCCCCCCCCCCCCCCCCCCCCCCCCCCNCCCCTCGCCCCCCCCCACCTCTCCTCTGATCCCCCTGCTCAACCATGCCACACGAACACGAACACGCGCTGAACGAAATAACGGAACCGAAACCACGGAATCGCCTGTCCACTAGGCGAGCGTGAACTTCGGCCTGCGCAAGTACGGCGGCAAGTCCGGGGTCAAGAAGCTGTTCAAGCTGCTGGTGGAGGACTTCGGGGAGGAGACCGCGGGGAAGCGGCAGATCGCGCTGCTGTTTGCGCTGCTGGACTCCGACCAGCCGGTGGAGAACATCAAGGCCCTCATGGGGGAAACGGACAACTCTTCCATCTTGAGGTAGGTCATGGGGGAGACGGTCCGTCTTGAGGTGTTTTTTATTGGTCCAGTACGCTCGGGGAGTAGGGTAAAGCAAACTCAAGGAACGGGAGTGCAAGCAGGGGGGGGCGAGGGGCTGAGAAGGGGAGCTAGATGCAGGACCGAACAAAGCATCGGAACACGGAACAACATGCCTTGGAAAGCCGGTGTTTTATAGGTGTCACGGGAACGAGCTGATAATTTTTGCGGTTTTCCGTAGAGAATCAAAGTGTTCAAGACCGGGGTCGGCGCGATGTCTACCGTGAGGTTTCCATTCTCAGGCGTTCTAAATGGGTGACCGCCACGAGAGGAGACACGGTTTGAAGGGAACGGGGGAGGTGTGTGGCATAGAAGGGAAGGGGAGGCGCTGCCGTGAACAAGAACGGTGTGCGTCTGTCCGTTCGTGCATGCGTGATGTTCTCGCTTCTCGTGTTTTTTTGATAACCCGCGAAGGGCGTCGAGGCTTTGACGCAGGCGATAAAATTATACATTCGTCGTACCACATCGGCGTAGCGTTGCAAGCAAACGACAGAGGTGTGTATGGATCGAAGTGGTGCGAAAAGTGTATCCTGCTGGCTCACAGCGTAGACCACGGCATCCCCCAATACTTGGCGTGCTGTCGGGGACTTGTCACTCCTACTCCCTCCCCACGCACGGTTGCGGTTCCTACCCCCTATCCTTAAACTTACGCCATCTCGCATGTTCGCCTGCGACACGATCCGCACCGGGAAACCTGAACCCTCTCCACCTGCTCGTCCTTCTCCTTCTCCTTCTCCCTCCTCCCCATTCGTACGCGCGGTCAGCTATAAAGTGACCAACGGAGGGCGGGGGTACGAGGCGGGGCACCCTCCGGCCGTGAAGATCGAGGCGCCGCCCTACCTGACGGACACGGCAAGGGCGACGGCGACGCTGAGGCGGTCGGGCAGCGTCTTCAGGGTGGCGCTGCGGTCGCCGGGGAAAGGGTACCAGACGGCCCCGACGGTGACGATATCGCCCCCAAGGTTAGGAAGAAGGGTACGAACGCGGCGGAGGTGGAGCATTTGGACAGCGTGCGGCCCTCCTATCGTGGTGTTTGTTCGTCAGTGGGGTTTGGGGTAGTTGACTGCTCGGGAGTTACCCCAGGGCAGAGGGTAGCATTCTTGGTTCTTGTTCTGCTTTTATTGGTGGGGGTGGGGTGCGTAGGTTTTCGCGTGGCGTTCAAGCCGGGGTGGGGTAATCGGGCAGGTGGTGGTGATTTGTGCTGGCAGTGTTGGCCTGTAGACTTTTTAAACGTCGTGATGTTCTGGACGACAGGAGGAGGTAGGGGAGTGAGGGAGGGCAGAAAGAGAGAGAGAGAGAGAGAGAGAGAGAGAGAGAGAGAGAGAGAGAGAGAGAGCGAGAGAGGCAGACAAGGATATGCAAAGACAAAGACGAGCGTGGAGGTAAGGGGTAGGTGAATAGCTGTGTTCGCCGTTGACTGATGAACGGCGACGCATCCCACGTTCCACGTGCAGATACGGAAGCGCAGGGGTTAAGCACAACAGGCCGAGGAGAGGCGAGAGCGTTCTCGTGTCTCCAAAAGCGATTGCACAATACCGGAGCTTGTCGAACGGTGTCACGGACCCTGCGAGAGGTGTGCACCTCACGAGTGTGTATTTTCTGTTTGCGCTGGCCTTGGCACTTGCCGATAGGAACTCAAATGGTGTGACTGCGACTGCGGTGGCGGCGCTCAAGGGGGGCAAGGTCGTTGGCATCGTAGTGACGAACGGAGGGAGTGGCTACTCCGAGGTGAGCTCGATAGTTCCGGCCGGTGGGTGACGTTGTATGTTCAAGTCCGCCCCGCGCGACGAATTTAACCCCTAACTTTGTGACATAACCGAGATGGTAGGTAATTATACCTTGCCACTCGCCGACACTTGACTCGAGGGGGGGTTGGTTGTCGTGGTGCATGTCGTGGTGCACCGTGCGTTTGAGCGAACTCTGAAGGCGAAGTCGGGGCCGTGTTGATGCACGACACGTTGTGCCAAGTATACCCCACAGTACAGAGGTTGATTTTCGTGTGTGAGCCCACAGAGTGTGTCGAAGAAACGCAATGGGGTACCCGGATATTAGAATGCAAGGAAAGCACCAACAACAACCACTGCAACACCAAGTAGTGGATTTCTCTAATTGCTGATGTGTTGATCAAGCCCGACGCAGATGAACCGGTAATATATGATAGGTCCAGTAACTCTTGTGCCTTGCGTGCAACGCTCGTTTCTGTTGCGCGTCGACCTTAGGACGACGATGTGAGGGTGATGATAGACCAGCCCGAAGCTGAGTCGGGTGGCAACGCGGTCGGCTTCGTCGAAGGGAGGATGAATTGCGCCACCGCGGTAGCTGTCATGGACATGGAGGTATATGTCGCGACACGTCAGCGACGCGCGCATCATACGGTGTCATGTGACACTGCGTTGGAGCGGTGGAAGACGCCGAGTAAAAACACTTTTTTTTTGTAAAAAAGAGGGAATCGATAGTCCTCGACAGACAGACGCTGGGGAGATTGCGAACCCGTTATGAAGGGGATCTCTAGATTGTACCCTTCATGTGAAGGGGGTTTCCACGTTTTGGGGAGGATAAGTTCTTCGATCGGCAGTCGCCTCCTCCCCACGACCCTTTCCCCTTCCGTGCGTAATGCGTTTGTTTCTTGGCCTTGTTTTTCCTCTTGTCCTTCCTTTCACGTTTCCACGGCAGGTGTCGGAGGTGCGGGTCGTGCACAAGGGTAGCGGGTACGCGAGCACTCTTCCGGCCAAGGTTACCATAGACCCGCCGCCGCCGAGGGTGAGACGCTGATGCCACCTTGCCCCCGTGTGGCGGCTATATTGAAAGACTGTATGTAGATGAGGTTCGCGGGGCTCTTTCGAGTGAAAAAAACGCCGTCAGCTATGTGAGCTGTTGAGCTTGGGAAACCTGATCACAGCTGACAGCCAGCCGTGGGCTGGTTCTGCTGCTGCTTTTATTTCCTCTTTCATCACCCCCTTGATGGCACTGCTGTGCTCTCATGAGCCCCACTCCAGAGGGATCCTGTTGGTTCCTTGAACCCACTTTCCCGCCCTCTTCAAAGTGGCGCCCGAAATACGCGCGATCTAGCACAGGTTGCGTTTGACGAAACGCAAAAAAGATCCAGTTTTTCTAGTTGAGGCATAGGTTTTGGTTCGAGGAAATATTTCTCTCTCGCCCTTTTCCTCGAACGTTTTTCCCCTGTTTCCCCCCTCTCTGATAGGTGTGCGGGATAATTCTTGTTGTGCTTACATGACCCAAAAATGCCAGACCCGCCCCTCCTTCTCTCTTCTTGTCCTTCTCATCTCTGTCGCAGGTAGAATACGCTGTCCCCGGAGCTACCGCGGAGGCCCAAGCCGTGCTCTCGCCACCTCCGGAGAAGGAAGTCTTGAGGTCGTGGCTGCCCCCGCAGCAGCTGCGGAGAGAGGTGACCGAGCTGCTCCCGGACAACCTCGTGCCCATGCTGGACCCCTGCCTGGCCAAGTTCTACCTCTCCCCCATCGACGTGGCGGACCCCAACTACTGCGTTTACTTCGACAATTCCGAGTTTCAGGTGTGAGAGCAGCGCCAACAAAGCCAGGAGCTGCTGCTGCGTTTTTATTTTTATTTTTGGCGACACCGGCGACTAATTTTCATTTGCCCATTTCTTGTTTCCGTCAATTCGCTATGCTGCCCCCGCCCCCCAACCCCTCCCAGGTTTTCCGTTGCGGTATTTGGTTGTCTACGCAGCTGTTAAGCTAACCCCAATCCCACGCCCAACGCTGGCTGACTTTCACGCCTCCTTTTTATCCCGTACCTCGCGTCAGGTTTACCCCAGTCAAAAGCTGGCTAGGTATTTCTCCTTCCTCGATGGGCCCCGTACAAGGTAAGAGTGGGAGGGAGCAAGAATGTAATGTAACGAAAATGAAGCGTTGCACCATTCGAAAGAAGCACGTGCGACGGAAAGCCTCGAGGTCAGCGGGCGCGTCATGTCCTGTTCAAGGCGGAACCAATTGCCTGAACACCAAACCGGAAGCTACGTCTTCAATTACTGGATGAATCACACACGAGGCGGGGCGCCCGTTTTGTTTTGTCGAGAAGCACTTGTGTGGCTTTGGGGCAACTGCCCCGGGTTGTCCTTGCCATATCAAAGCTACTGTATCAGCGAATTCTCCTAGATAAAACTAGCCTCTGCTGCTGATGTTTCTTTTGCTGATAGTAATGTTTGCTCACCTCTTGAAATCGCACCTGCTGTTCTGTCTGAGACGAACGCGAGCCTCGGCTTGTGAACGCACGGTTCCTCCGAACACACTCGTAGCCACCTTTTTGATAAAGAAGTAGCTCCCGCTGGGCGCTGCGGTGCTCCTCTACCCCAGCACACGATAGAGTTTCATTGTAAAGGGATCGAACAGACAGGAATGCGCACCTTACACTCCCCCATCCTACTCCACCGCACAGAGTAAAGAAACACACAGGGGTCACGGGTGTATGTAATCAAGACAGCAGCAGTCCCCTCTCGAGCAACAACGACGACCACAGCGGCAGACATGTGCACGCGTGCCGAGCTACCAAATATCCCGACCACGCCACCAACGGCCGCGACCTAACTCTACGGGACTACCGAAATTTCCTGGAAAATTATTTATTTCCATCTCAGATACCCGGTGGAGAAGGAACGCCCGCTGGACGCCTCGGTGTTCCTTCGCTTCGCCGCGTGTGGGGCCGCCTGCGGGTCTACCGCGCACGCCTTCCTGATCCCGATCGACGTGGTGAAGACTAGGATGCAGTCGGAGCCCAAGAGGTACCCGGACACGATGTCCACGTTCAGGACGCTCCTGAAGGAGGAGGTGCGTGGAATTGCGTGCACGCCTTCGTGCGTTTTGCGTGTGTGTCTGGCACCCGCTCTCATTAGAGCGGTAGAGGAAGAGAATGGGAGGGAGAGCGAGCGAGAGAGACATAGAGTGAGGGGGGCGGGGGGGTTGAGAGAGAGATGTACATTTATGCGTAGGTAAAGAGAGAGACTGAGGTTAGTATGCAGCAGGGTCCGGATGAAGGTTCTAAAGGGGCACCGGGAAGGGGGGCGACGGGGGAAGGGACGGTACTGCGATAGCGCGTTGTGTGTGAATGCGAGCACGGATGTGCATGCATTTTGTTCCTGGTCGGATCCTGCGACGTGCGCGTTAGTCACTGGGAATGTGTTCGGCTAGACGCACAGGGTCGGGTGTGAGTTTGATTGCTACATCTCGTTTCCCAGCGAGCGTACACAGGCTCGGCCCACCATCCGCGAACTAGCTACGTGGTTTGGGGAGAAGAGAGCCGTTCGGGCATGACCTCCTCTATCTCCGATTTCGATTCTGTTCAAAGCGCGTGGTGTGTGGAGTGCTGCAACTACGGGCCAAGAGCCAAGTGCTTCGATCCTTTTCGAAACGATTTACGTTGTGTTCTTCATCCAGCAAGGTCGTCTTACATGCTGGATGTTTCAAAACCATTGTTGAATAACGCTCACCTTCTTCGCTCCCATGCATCTAGTACGTCGCCACCATTACCACTGCTGCTGTTGCAGCTGCTACGGCGGCGACCGTGCTGTTGGTCGCTTTCTACCTTTCCGTTTTCATCTATCCACTACCCCGCCGCCGCCGCCACCGCAGCTTTTGCTACCACTGTTGGTATGACGTCACGCTCCATCGTTTCAATTTACTCGGGTTTCCTATATGAATCCAGGGCGTCGAGGCTTTCTTGCTCGGGACAGGGGCGACGATCGTAGGGTACGTATTTTACGGGGGCTTTTCTTTCGGGCTCACGGAGTTCCTCAAGCGGCGCTTCGTTGAGCTGGCGGGCCCAGACTTGGCGGCGCTGTACCCCATTCCAATTCTACTGGGCGCAAGGTGTGTATGCAGGGCGGGGGTGAAGCGCAGGGGGGGGGAGGTATGTCGGGGTGTGCGCGGGCGGGGAGAGCGAGGGCCAGCGGGGGTTCCGCGTCCATCCCAGCTGAACATCACTGAGCGAATGCTTGGTTTGGTCCCTGCGTGAAACCACTTTCCTGCTGTTGCTGTCTGTTTGTTGCGTGCTTCTTGTTTCTCGTGTTCGGTGTGTTGATGCCCCCACTCCTGCGGTTGCTGTTGGCTGCGTTTCTGCTTCTTGTTGATGGTAGCGCCATATCGGCCTGCTTCGCGGCCACGGCCGTCACCCCGTTCGAGACCCTCCGCATCAAGACCGTCACAGTTCCCAACTTCCCCAAGACCCTGGCGGGTGCGATGTCGGAGATGGTGTCCACGGGCCGCGCTGGAGACCTCGTTGCAGGTGCGTCGGACGAAAAAAGAGCGCCCCATGTGTCCATTGATGAGCAGTCGCGACGTGTACTTCTGATTCGATTCTACTGCTGTGTTGCTAGGCGAAGGGCGTCATGACCCCCCTTTCCACTCCCAGGGCGTATTGGTTGCAAATTGATGGTGAATGTGTACATAGAGTGGGCGAATCCTTGCACATGCACGCAGACAAGGCCTCGAGCTAGCCTGCGCTTCGCAGAAAAAGGAGGTCCAAAGTACCGGCCTTGTGGTTGTGTCGTGGTCTGGCACTGCCTCCTACATGTACTATCTTTTTTTTTGGCGAGTGCGCTTGGTTCTTTCGTCGTTGTGCACTTGATAACAGTCTGCCCGGGTGTTGCTATTGTTAGTCGGCGGAGGTGCAGCCGCTGGCGAAGCCCCTGTTCGCGACGACCGAGTTCGCCACGGCCTGCGACCCGTGTTCCTTTTTCAAAGTAGTCAACGTCTCCCCTTGGCAGGCACAACGAAATTGTACGTACTGTACTCGAGGCGCCTCTTCCGCACGGGTGGGAAACTCTTTGCCCTCTTTCGCGCCGCGCGCGTGTATGTATTTAAACCTTGTAGAACGCCTGTGCGTCACGAACGTGCGCGCTTTAAACGTGCAGGTGTCCCGGTCTTGCTGCTGGCCGAGATCCCCTTCATGATGGCCAAGTTCGCCGTGTTCGACGCCTTCTCCAAGCTGGCCTACAACGTCTTCCCGCAGGCGAACGAGTCCGTGGCGGCGTCTCTGGCGATCTCCCTCATCAGCGGCATGGTCGGTGAGTTGCGGCCCTGCGCGGCGTGGTCCGTGTGTGCGGGGTAGGTGCAGGTTGGGGTTGAGGTCTGCTCGTTTTTGTTGGTGGCCTTCGTTCGTTCGATGGTCGACGACGGACACTCCGTGATTCTGCAACGTTGAAGTACTCCTAATCGGCGTACGTATGCATACATATCTAAGTTTTCTGTTGTTTTCTGCTGGTGTTACATGTTTTTTTATCCTCTCTTTTTTTCTCATTTTTTCTTTTTTGTCGCTACTCCTTATTCTTCTTGCCTTTGTAAAGCTGGAGTGGCGGCGTCGTTCGTCTCCCAGCCGTCGGACACCGTCTTCGTCGAAGTTAGCGACAAGGAGGGAGGCAGCGTCGGCATAATCGAAACGGTCAAACAGGTTTACAAGGAGGGCGGGGCGGCGGCGTTCTACAAGGGGGCTCTCCCGCGGGCGGCCAAGTCGGCCCTAAACATCGCGCTGCAGTTCTTCCTGTACGACTCCCTCAAGCGACTCGCCAACGTCGCCCCGGACGACTTGAAGGTGGGCGTGGTCGGGGTTTGCATGTGCGGTGACCTGCTGGACGCGATGAGCGGCGGTGGGAGGGTGCCCATTTGCCGCTCTCCTGTGGTAGCCAAAATGATCATTGACATCGCTTCCTTCTTACTGTGAAGCGAGCTTCCCCAACAGTTGGCAGTGACGCCTGTTTTTTGTTAGAGAGAGGAAGGAGCGGGGCGATCCAATCACATTTCCACAGCAGTTGACTCTGTTTACGTTGTCGGATAAAAACAGAGTGCGCCGTGCTGGCTTGCGCTCCTGCATGGAGTTTACATTGTCTATTGCGGTGTCTGTCCTTTGATATAACGCGTCTCAATTTTTTCTCAGGATCTGAAGCCGATCTTGATAGCAACGGCATTTTTTCTCTGTTTTTTTCCCGCAAGTGCTGGGACAGTGCTTTGATAGCTAGCACTACAAGCTCTTGTTTTTCGACGAACCGCTAGTGCCCCGTATTACGGGTGTGTATGGGGGCGTCCATATGTTATATGTGTTACAACCGACCGATGATATCCTCGAGGCGAAGAGGAGAATGAAATGCGCGAACGTCCGTTCTGTTAGGTTTTCTTCGACGTCATGTCCGGCTTGGAAATGGGGGCCAAGAGCGCGGCCGACATTGCTCCGACCATCGATAGCGGCAGATAGCCCCCGGATTGTTCAAGTAATATTCGTTCGGATGACTCGTCAGGAGCGCGTGGTGATACTGGGTCGTCTCTTGTCTCTCTGGTCCTCCCGCCTGCCAATTGGTGGAAGAGCACCACTTAATGATCCCGGCATACCGTGGACACAAGCATGGATTTCTCTACGATCTCCGCTAGAACAAGAACACCGAATTAGATGGGTGGTGGTTCTTCATTGTTTATGAGTCTTTCTTTTCCTCCAATCTCTTCTCCTTGCGTCAAAGACGGCAGAAAGCGTTTCATAGGCCATTGCTTTAGACGGGTGCATGTTGGTGTGAATTGTTTGAAAACACTAGTCGCTTCTCGGTTTTCCCTGTTCGTAGTTAGGCACGCCGTGTTGGAAGGGTTGCGCCACACCAAACGTCGATGGGACACACGAGTTCCGCCGCGCATGAGCAAAGAACTGCGCACATAGTAGATAGAAGTGACAATGAACGCGCGGTGTGGACTTGCGTTTGCTTCACCCCCGAGGTAGTTTTTGGAGCTACGGTCACATCGTCAATCTGATCGTGTTGACTGGCGCAGCAAGTGATTGGTGGAGTGCCCTTTCGAGGAACAATCATGGCCGTTCGATGGCCGACGCTTCCAAAGTAGAAAAGTTGTGCTGCGTTCGCGGCCGAAGACTGCGGGGTGTTGCTTTCAAGATGCCCTTATCTCGGAATTGGGTCGCTGTTCTCCGGAACAAGAGCGATTGCGTTGTGTGTGTACGGTGCGGTTTTGTGCGGAAAGTGGCTGGTTGGGTGTGGATGGCCACCGTGTGTCTCGCTTGTCGGCGTGACGGGAGTGTGTTTGTGTGTTTTGAGTGCGACCTCGCATCTAGGGTTAGCTTGTGCCGATGCCTTGGGAAAGTTGCCTGGAACTGTGTCTGCGGCGTACGGAAATTGTCGGGGGCAGTCGACAAGTGTTCGCTGCGGGACTGCGGGATAACGAAATAGACCTGGACCGAGGGTGTGCATGTGAAGATTTTCCGATTGTTTCCCTTCTGGGTGGAAACCGACATTGCCTACACGTCCAGTGTCATAATCGGAATGTGGTGGATAGATGATACGGTGGAGGGTGGAGAGGACACACATTAAGGCAACATAATGCTCTCTCCTCACATTTAGTGGTCGTCTTGTAAGACATTGTGTTTCTTTCTGTCCTCCATGCCCTCCTTGGTCTTGCACAGCGAAACGACTAGCCTTTGGGGTGGTGGCAGCAGACAGTTTTGTCAGCGGAGTGCGAACCAAGGGGTACAAAGCTACTTGCTGGCGGCATGACTGAATAGCCGCTCGACAGGGCGGAGTTCCCGCACAGGTTGCGATTTAATGCCGGACTTTTTCCTCTCCCTCTGTTTTTGTTGCTACGCGGAAGAGTGAGAGAGAATGTATTTACCGATATATGTAGCGAAGACCTTCGTAGAGAGCGAGGAGACAAGTATAGGCAACACCTATAAGAAGAGAGTAGGCACTGCGTCAAGAAAAAGGATGGACAGCGAGGGGGGGGGCAGGAAGAACGGAGGCTCCATGAACTCCGCGCACGTGTTTTGCGTCGCTATGTCGTGCTTCCCGTGAAAGAGGTGATTTTGTGTCCATGTGTTTTAAATAAGTGCGAAAAAGTTATTCAGGGGGTGCGCAGGGCTAGGGCGGTGATCTTGTGCCGCAAGATCCATCCGTGTCTAGTGGTGCGAAGAGGCGAAGTGGCAAGCGATGGTCGGCAGTGACGTGATGGCGAATATGCCTTACAGGGAACAACGACGAAGTGTGGATCTTGGTTACGAAAGGCTGACATTCTTTTGAGAGGGACCCAGGTAATGCTTTGTCTTAGCCATCAAGACAGAAGCTGACACTTGGAACGAAGGAACCGTCATCAGCGAGCCATCATCGAGTGTTAATAGAACAGAGTTCCCAAGCAGCTCGGGACTGCTGCTGATGCTGAAGCTCATCATTCTATGCCCGCCCGCGTTCAAGATATAGTCGACAGGCCTTGAACCTGAGAGCATTGGGAAACCTCAATTGGTTCAAGTGTCCGGGGATCCTCCACCCTCCACAGCGGAATTCACACTACCTTGAGAGGCAAGGACACGCTAGTTCCATGCGCAGTTTGCAGTTAGTTGGAGTCGCTGCTGGCGGCTTGGGCTGCTGCTGCAGGGTCGAAACCCGTCAACTACTGCTGTGGGTATATCTCGAGCAGGTATTATAGTATTCCAGTGTGTATTTATTTTTCCCAATGTTTGGCTCCACCGGTCCACAGGGTATGGATATGGAACATCCCTACTCTGTACAACTGAGGCATAGACACAACAGCAGTAAAGCAGACTACACCGTAGAGTCCAGATGACGCTGAAAAGTGGATCGCTGAGTTGTCGCCCAACTCCCGTCGATTAATCTTGCTGAGGCACGAGGGCCATCTAGTCGCGACTCCGACGGGGTGATGATGGTATGATGTCTTCGCATCCGTGGGTGGTGCTATTGTAAATTGTCTTACATGTACAAATATACACGTTCTCAAGGTCGTACCCCACACAGGAGGGCTCGGTAAACCGGCGTACACGTGACCTACGATGTAGTTCAGTAGACTGTACCGCAGGATTACTTAAATACTTAAATTTTATACTAAAACAAACTCAATCAATACACAAGACCATTGAAGCCTATCCGTTCGAGTCAACTCGCTCATAGGGGGGTGTTGAAAATGATTTCAGTGGAAGGGTTGAGTAACTCCTGCTGGAGCTACATGTAGCAGCTTGGTGTGCCGCATCACGAAGAGATTCCTGATGCCGCCCCTTGTGAAATTCGTGATCTCTCTGGCACGACGCACTGAAGTACTTTGGATCACTTTTTAGCGCTGCATATCTCACGAATCGACAGCTTGGGATTGTTGGTGTGAAAGGTGGCCGCCTTCTCATGAAGACCACTTTCCAAATGTCTACTTCGTTGTACAACTACTGCAGTGCTGCATGATTATCCTGAAGGCGAAGCAAGATGGACCGAACACAAGGCCAGTGCAGTCCCACCGGCGGCAATCAAGATCACGCTAGGCAAGTTTCCACGTTTAGAGCACCACCTTGTAGGGGGCTGTTTGAGTTGGTGTGTAGAACTGGTGATATTGACTTTGGTTTGCGTTGTGTCTTGGTTATGGTACTGGTAGGTGTGTGATATTGGTATAGGTCACGGTTGGTGGGGCTGATGGCCTTGGGTAGGACAAGCACGAACAGGACCAGAACAAGACAATAGAGGTGTTGGCCGCTGGCATGTTTCCTACCACCTTGCCGAAGGCAGATGTCAATCGCGCAACGACTTGGCCCACCCGTCCCGCCCTACGCCACCTCCCCCGCTTTGAACCTTCCTCTTTTTGGTTTGCAATGCTTACTGACTGCAGAAGTGGCCAGGCCGCTGAATCTGAGGAGGTTGATGCCATGGTACGCTCTGCTAACCATGTCGACGGGAGGAGTCTTGGTGTTCCCAGTCTCCCTATTGCCATTGCGGTGAACGATACAGTTTATGAGAGGTGGGCACGACGTACCGAAGAGTAGAATTAGGGAGCTTTGATCGTTGACGCACCCTGCTCTGTTCCACATTCTTGTCTACCATATATCTGGAGGGCATCATCGCTTATGGTTTTCCGTGCTAAGCAACTTGTGGGTTATCTAGGAATGTAAGTTGTCGAACGTCTGAAGGACTACGCCTGACGCCGATATCGTGCTAAACCAATGCCACTCCCTCACGTTTGCTTGTGTCGGTTATTGCTCGCACCCGTACCCTCACAGCCAAGCAGAGGCGCAATGCGCCATCAACGATGGTACGGCCTCGGCCCTCTACCGACAGCAGCGCCAACCAAGCCAACGCAGTCGTGGTGCCCCCGCCGATGCTGCTTCTGCCGCTGCCGTCGCTACAACCGCCGCCGCCACCGCTTCTGCACCATTCGTGATCCGTCCTCCACCCGTAACCCGTCCCGATGTGGCCGTAACGCCCCCTTCCGAAGGGCCACCGGATCCAACTTGTACCTAGGGCGGTGGCATGGCTCGAATGGGACGCGATGAAGTCGGGATTATTGGAGGCAGGACAGAAGGCGATGGCATCGGTGATGAAAAACCCGTTGGATTGATTCGAAACCCTGCGAACCAAGTCGGCCGGTGCGTGGGTTACATGCCGGGTGGACCGGACGACAATGGCATGTGAGTGTTACTTCATGGGGTCCTTGAGCAAGAGCGAGGAACCACTAAGGAAACGTATCAAGCTGCTTTTGTGCCGTGAAGACTACCACGGTGGGTGTCGCATGAAATACCTCGCCATAAGGCTTCGAGCCCCTTTCACGACGCGACTTTGGATAATCGGTATCTCAAGACCTTGCTGTCCGAAAGGGAGGAACGCCAACGTTTCCACCCGCAATTCGCCACCCTGTTATGAACGCCTCCTTGTCTAAGCACCACACCCCCTTTGTCTGCACGTCCCTTGATGCACTTCCCCCTTCATCAACGCCCCCATATTCTCGTGTCGTCGAAAAATACTTCAAGAAGAACGTTCTCGATGCACGAGGACGACGAGCGCGACGCGGACAAAGTGAGTGCAACCGTCGCCTTGAGTCTTGAATACATGTCCTTTCTACACCGTTCCGTAGTAGGTGGTCTGTCAGTCCTCATTTCCGCGTCACTTGCATATGCACAACATTTTGGGCTGTCATGTGGTGGCGAATGAGGTTACGCCTCGCCCCGCCCCTCGAGGCTGAACATGTCAATCCCCCAATCACCTTCCGCACCCCCCTCCGCGCGCAAAGCTGCATGTACGTGCGATGGGTGTAGGCTTAAATGACCACTTCCTCTCAAGGGTAGCCACCGACCGAACAAGGAAAAAGTATTTCATTGAAAAGTAGAGCGTTTGGAAGGCGAGGGGGCACGTGTTGAGTTCAGAAAGGGACTGGCTGGCAGTGCAGCTCAGGAAATTGATGAGCAGCGTTGAACAATGTATCGACGAATTGGAAGGATTACGACCTGAAAGAGGAAACAAGGAACATGAAGAGGTCTGTAGACAAACTCGAGTGATAAATCCAACACCGCTTTTTAATGAGAGCATAAAAAAAAAAGTAAGTTTGCAAATTTTTCTCGCAACATTTCTTGTGTACTTTAGTATGGGAGCATTAAGTTGCGCGAAAAGTTTGGAAACGTTCGTTTTTCACAGTAATCGCGCGATCTGGAACAAGAGTTCGCAATATTTTCTCGCGATAAATGTGGCGAACAAAAGTTTCGCGGCGAGACTTGCGCCAATCCACGTCAAGCACCTACCCCTACCACACACATAGACCCACACACGCGCGCACGATCCATGCGATAGATGAATGACCACGTCATATTATTTGAACGACGAGTTGGAATTGCCCGCAATGGCCAGACCTGTGTAGGACACGTAGACTGTAGATATTTGTAGAGTCGAAGGTCTTCCGAGCTTCGGTTGGAATGCACAAGCCAGGTTTTATACGACCAACTCGTTTCCCAAGCTTTTGTTACACTGCCTGTTCCGCGGTGTGGTATTAAGCGGTGTGCCTGCTTCTCGCCGTTACTAAAAAAACAGTAAATGATCACACCTCCGCATTCCACCAGCCCCGTGATGAAAACTTTCTACGTCCGATAGTGAGCTTGTGACAAAAGTGTTTTCGACTATGGTTCCCGACTAAAAGTTACCAAAAACTTAAACTTTTGACGCAATCTTATGCTCCCATAAAAAGCGGCGTAAGCTGGGTGGGAGGAAAAGTTGGGATCAAGAGAAAACAGGTGAAAAGATTAGCAAGATGGAATGCAGTAGGATAAAATAGTGCAGAAGGCAAGGGAGGCCTGGAGGGGAACGTGAAGCAGATGCGGCAAGGGATTTGTGGCATGGTAGGCAGAGTACGCGGGGCCGTAATGGTAGCAACATAGCGAAGTATGGACGGTGGACTCGTCAGCAGGGGGAAGGGTAAGAGGGAGGAACTGACAGGACATTATAGCGGACTTGGAGTATTGTCGGAAAATTCACCTTTTGACCAAGTGTTTTAGGAAAAGGTGGACACATGGGCCCAGGGAAAAGAAGAGGTATCGAAGGCAGAAGTTGGGAACGTAGATATAGAGCTAGAGGAGGAATTCACTGAGAACGAGATTGAGAGTTGTGTGAACGCACTGCAGTGTCAGTGTCGTAATGCAGCAGGGGCGGATGGGATAGTCAACAAATTCACAAAGCATGTGTGGGAAGGGATGGTCTAGATGATGGTGCTGCTGTACAATGGGGTGTGGACAAGGAATACGCGCCGAGTAGATGGAGGGAAGGGGTGGTAGCAGGGAAGTTGCACCCACTACTCGCAAACTGGCACCTGGATACATGCACCAAACTGACTATTTTGAAAGAGCGTAGTCGTCCCGCCGCTTGAGTACGCCAGAAAAGTATGAGAAGGAAAAAATATAAGGTAGTTTTAGAGGCGGCGCAAATAAAAGCAGCCACAACCATCTTAGAATGCTCCAAGCGCACAAGTAGGGCAGCAGTTCACAAGTAATACAGCAGCAAGGAAGGGCAGATATGGGATCCAATCCCTATGAAACTGAAGAGACGCAAGGAAGCTGCAATGGCAGTGTCGTGTGCACGATATAGGAGACGACGGGGTGCCGCAAATAGTTTGGGAGGCGGAATGGCAAAACAAGGCGAGGGGTAGACAACCCACAGAGTGGGCTGAGGATGTAAAGGAAGTATGGACGGGGTTCGGAATTGACGAATCCGATACGTTGGAAGCTGAAAGCCAAGAGGGGTTCAAGAGAGAGAGAGATCAGTTGCTGTTACTGAAAGAGAAGAATTGAATCTACTGAAAGAAACCATGGAAAAGGGGGTCTCGAAGTATGTGTACGGAATGTCATGGAGCAAGGGGTGTGGTGGTGCGGTCGCCCCGGCCCGGTGGTCCAGGTGGTGTCCTCGAACCTTACTAGAGGTCAAGTCAGGGGTTCGAATCCCGGCGTAAGCGAGCTTTCTTGCAAAGTGAGTTTTTCTCCCGCTTCCGCTCCTGGCGTAATGGATAGCGCTAGTTCGTGTGTACACAGAGGGAAGAGAGTGCTGAAATCTTCTCGCATTAAATCTCGAAGGCAACGTACCACAGGAGGGGAGGGTAGAGAGGGGCCGTTCTGTGTGACCACGGGTTGGAATAAACGACACGAGTGCTATGAGCGCTGATTTGAAGTGAAGGGGAACCTACAGTATTGGACCAATGGGTGCAGGGTGCAGGGAAGAAGCTGAAGGTCGAGTTCAGGACTGGAGACATTTACAAGTGGGCTGAAGAGGCCGGAGATGATACGGATAGGATACATAGGATAGGGAAGATTTTTTTAGCCACCTTTGGCAAAGTAGGAAATAATGATTGGCCATCGGTGGTCGGTCCTGTGGCAACAATGCTCCGCCCCCTAACCTCTATCAACTGAGGAATGCAAAGTACGCCACCCCCCCACCTTCCCCCGCGCGCGAAATATACGTGCTCATCCCTTGCTATTGTCAGCTTCAATTTCTGTTTGTTGACAAAAGTTGGTTGTCGTGCTTGCCTCGGCCATTGTGCACTACCGCCTTTTCGCTGTTCTTTATGACTCATGCATCATTGGGTCTGTTCTTGGGCGTCGGGCGTGGTGGGTGGAGGTGAGGGAGAAGACGATCCTCGAAACCAAGCAGCCGATACCAAACCAGATGAAGAAAGCAAAGGGGGCGAAACCGCCGACCAGCCCCCTGATCTTACAGCTGCTGATCCCTAAAGGGATGGCACAGGTGAGTCTGACGATCGAGATGTTTTCTCACGTAGCACTACTTCAATCCTCATCAAACCCAGAGGTACACGGCCCGCTCCGTCGTGACAAAGCCCATCTCAGCCTGCTTCGGCCGTGGGGTATATCCTCAGCCATAAGGTAGGTGTGCCGCAGAATACGTCCTTGATTTTTTGTGCGCCCCTGTTTCGTTTTCGGCCATACGTTTGACATCGCAGAGCACCTTCAACTGCCTGTGGTGGACGCTGGAACCCGCGAGTCCTTGCCGCTGGAAGAGGAGGTCAACAGACGGCTGTTGAAGCAAATCGATTGGGCGCCGCCCGGCTCTGAGCCTCTAACGAGGTGCGGGTGTTTTCCGTGCCCGTGTTCGGCTTGACTCGGTGCTCGCTAGTTGTGGCGCTCGCAAGAGAGGAACACCGCTTTGTTTTGGCCCAACCTTAGCCCCTCGCTCCGGGCCGACCCGCGCGCGCACAGAGGGGTCCGCCCTTTGAAGTCAAGACTGTTCGCGATGAGGGCAAAGGGGACGGGAACTGTCTACCGCACGCTGTTTCACTGTCGCTGTGGGGCCATGGAGACGACACGCTGGTGAGCGGTTTGTTCATCGAGTTGTGCGGAGAGAGAATGGGGAACACTCATCTGTTGCTTGTCTCGGTTATGGTGACTACAGTATGTACGCCCACCTTCCGAGAGACAAAAGTTGTTGTCACCTTTCCTCATTCTACTCTGCAAGCCTACTCTCGCTCGTTATGTCACGCCATGGCTTCCTGTGCATGGCTTCCTATGCCAGGAAGCTTGTTGTGGGCCCGCGTCTTTGCGACTGTGCGTGCTTTGTAGGAGGCCAACGCCTCGTCAGTATCTCCTGTATTCCCTCCGTTCGCTGTACCAGGTACTACGGTCGTTGTTGAAGGAAGTCTTCCTGGACAGGCCCAGCGAGGCTATCTTGTTTTCCGTTTGGTGTAAGGAGCAAAAGCGGGTAAACGAGGCGACCGGAGGAAGCGCCTCCTTCGAAATGGCAGCCGGCGAGGTTAGCCACTACCCTTTCCGGAGAAATGCCAATCGATCATATTGGGGGGTGTTACCATTGTGAGGAGGTGGCGTGTCAGCCAGTAGACAGGAACCCTCCACGTTAAACTTGGTTTTTACAAACCAAGCTGTCTCCCTTACGCTAACCGAACACGTTGCCGCTACCCTTTCCTCGAGCAGTTGCGGGCGGAATGGCGCATGGTTATGGAGGCAGTCAAGACGCCGTCAGCCCACCTCTCCTCTTTCCACGTCTTCGTGCTCGCCCACGTCCTACGACGTCCGATAGTGGTCTACGGGAAAAATCATGTATACGGTGCCAACAACAGTGAGGCGTTTGTTCCGTCTGACATGCCCGGGTAGGTGAGAGATAGTTGACAATCCCGCCATTTGGTTCGAGCGGGGAGGAGAGTGAGAGGTGAAGGAAGACAACACCCCTTGCCGCGTGGCCGGGTGGAGGAAATAACAACACTTCGCTTGCCCAGGAGGAGGAACTGCGGATCTCGCGCCTCTTCACAAGAAGTCTCGGCACGGAACATTGTATCCTCCAAGCGTGAGCGTGCGCGGGGGTGTACGAAAAACAAGCGTTTATTTTGTCTTGTTCGTTTATGCCTCTTCATTGAATGTCAACCTCGCAACGCTCACCGCAGGTCAGTGTTCCGTGCGAGAAACAGGCGCGAGGTCCGCGGTTCCTTGCCGGCACGAAAACCGAAGAAAATTGTAACCGACACCCAAAGGTGCGGGACCTGGTTGAATGCCAATAGATCGATGTACATCTGCCCCCCTCCTTCAAACAACACTTTTGAGCATCAAGTTTCCTGCCCCCGACCTCCACATCAAAACTGGCAGGAACTACCTCCCGACTTTGGAGCACCAAGACAAGTGCTACAAGTCAGCGATTGCGGTGGCTTACACCTGCCCCGCTGTCGGTAGGGCTGGCCACTTTTCTCCTCTCGTCGGGATGTCCAAGCAGCTGAAATATATTCCCTCGGTAGACGAGCATGGAAAAAATTTGCGGGTTAGGTAAGCATCGTTGGGTTGACGTGACCCTGTATCGGCGGGATGCTGGGGGCGGACAGGGGATGAATATCATGGCACTGCTGTTGCTGTAGCATGTCGATCTTAGCGTATGTAGTTTGGGTGTTTGTCGATGTTGCCTGCTATTCCTAATTCGACTATGTAGCATGAAGGATAGCTGTGAACGGTGACGCACGTCGATCCCGGGAGTGACTAGAAAGTTTCGCGAGTTTAGATTTTAGACGGGGGAGGGCGCGCCGTACCCAGCCCCGCCGCCTGTTACTTCAAAACGAACACCCTGTTGTCGAAAAGCCAACGTCTTAGACAACAAAGGGGACACGGGTCACTAACTTTCACAGTTGGCCATTATTGAACGACCGAGCACAGGTAGGCACTTTGAAGTTGTCTGCCTCGATGGCCACTGACTGCTGTCGCGCCACGCAGAGGTATATTTGTGCACCGAACCTTTTGCTCCTTAATTCTACGATAACCTGATATCTACAGGGATCCCATCCCCAACTGTGTGAAGCCCCCAACCTGAGAAGTTTTCCTTGTGGATGTACATGACGTCATGTGATACATCATAGAGACGGTCAGACTTGCTTGTGTTGCTTGACTCCAAGTCCTTCATACTTGATGACAAAATAAACAAAGTCAGACCTGGAAATTCCGGACAAAATACACTAAAGTTTGGGTGACTCAACCAAGCTCCAGTTCAGTGGCCAAGGAGAAAACGCGACAAAGAAAGTATGTGTGGGACCACAAGCCGGAGCTGGAGGCTTGATCCAACAAACAATACTTACATTAAATGATCGTAGGCCAAGAGAAACAATACAACATTATTCGGCAGTCTCAGCAGCGTACCCGCCATTGTGTGAATACCGTTCCACCTGGAGCAAGACTGGGATACTCGCAGCATGAAGCCACCGATAGAAAAGTACAGTGGAGAGTCTGACCCACGTGCGGTGGTAGGCTCGTGATATTTGCTTGTTAAGTCGGGCGTCTGAGGATCGGGGAGGCACGAATGCACAACGTCACCTTTCTTTGTGGATCAAGAAGGTTGAGAGATGCTCCCTTTCACCGTCTTGTTTTTGCCTAGCCGTATTACTGTTGGGTACCTAAGATTGATTTCGGAAGTGTGTTTTGCGTATCATCCAGGACGTCCTGTCGTTTTCTGCTAAGATCTCAGGATACGGGGGGGAAGGAGTCTAAGACGGCATCCCCACGATAAGCGAAAATACTAGCACCTACTCAACTTACCCATCCAGCCCATACGGTCCAACCCAGTCGCGAAACGAGCACAGGTCCTCTGTCAACCCGTCGGAGAGAACTGCTTGGGACTTTTCCCTCGCGTTCACTTGTGTTGTATCTTGTCATCGCCAGTTTTCTTCGGGGTTCTTTCGCGTTTACATTGTACTTCTTTTGTAGCTCGTCATCGTTGGCACCATGGTTTCAAGGTCATCGTTGTGCACATATTTCTTTGTTGGGTCTGGAAAATTGTGGAGGGCCAACTGAAACGGGATCCTTGAAAAATACCACTGTATGAGGTGTCCTGCGTATACGAGATTAAAGCAAACTTGGGACTAGCAACGTGAATATCCGTCCGCTTGCTTCAACAATTTTCTCCCTTCGTTCTTCCTGTGTCTCGTGTGCTCGAGAGTGTTACTCTCTAAGCAGTTGCGGCTTCCGGTGAAAAAAAAAGCAAAGCGTCAGACAGGCAACGCCGACGCCAGCTACGAGTTGCTATACAGTGCCGGCCCGCACTTAAGAACCTCCTTTATTGGACGAGGCTCAGTTCTTATTGGCTGCCCCAACCCGAGCACCAGTTCTTATTTGCCAAGTTCTTATTTCGTCGTCCATTCTTCTCCAAAAAGGGGCATTCTTGTGCTTACAGTATTTTAACATCATTTGCGATATTGTCGGCTGTCAACCATGAGCAACACTAGTACTGCTGTCGATACAACAAAATACCAAGGCATGGAGCAGCAACTGTCAACCTTCTTGGTCCACAAGGGTGACGTTGGTCCTGCGTACCCTTCCTGATTCACTAGACTCTAATGCTCTCAAGCGAAACCGCAAGGGGGAACACTGAAAATGAAACGTGTCCCTTGCAAGTAGAGTGACAAATTTACGTGTCCCATGCATCCAGGTGACAACGGCAAATACCGGAAATGCCGAAATGCCGCCAAAATTCCACTGAACCAGAATTCTACCCTTCAAAGAGTCAGCCAAGTATACACATGAAGGAGCGCACACGCAGCCATTCGTCTGAGCTACTCACCCACCTCTCCTGGTTTTCAGAGCTAGCCGGCAATTCGGATCCAGCCGTTGTGCGATAGGTAATCATCTCCGTTAGGATTTGAGGAGGACGGAGTCTAAAGCTGTAGAGAAGCACTGCGCCTGTTTGCTCCTTCCTACTGCTGCTTGAGGCTGACTTGGGCCCTCCAAAACTCCGACAGGTACGAACAAACTCCTTTATGTGTGGTCGAAGATGGACTGCGTCTTTGTGCAAGCCCAACATGCTACCATGCACAACATACTGCTGCTGCCGTTCACCTGTCGCTGCCCTTCCACGTCTACCTGCCCATGACACATGCTGCCACTTGATGCGACAACATCTGGGAACAACCCGGGTACAGGGAGTACCCCCCCTACCCATACACACACCGTCAAAATTGAACAACCTCTCATTCCTCCCTTTCCACATACAACTGATGTAGATGCATGAAATGATACACTCTGTCTTTACTTATGGTCCGCGCTGTCCACAAATGGGAAGGGCAGCCATACTTTCTGCAGACACACGGGCGAGAGAGGTGACCATACCCACTGCATTTAACACACACCCACATGTCGGTGATGAAACCTCAACCACACGCCTCTCGAGTCTATCGGCGGTCACGTCAGGAGGCAATGATGCGATAATGTTCTCCCGTGCCCTTCGCACATTTAATGACGTGCAATTACACAACACCGTCCCGCACATGCTCCCATACATCACACACCAAAAATAAGTTGATGACGAAAATATACACACCCCGAGACGCGCTTGCTCCGCAACCACATAAGGGTGCCATATTAGAACACCCGACAAACCGAGTTCCCCTAAATCTTCCGTCTACAACTTGCCAACAAAACATGCAGAGAGATACACAAGATGGCTACCAAACTGCCTTGTTGAGCCTGTTACTCACAGGGGAGATATCGCTGTATGCTGTCTGGGAAACCGTAGACATACAGGTAGCTTTCGCTCACGCTATGGATTCATTGCTAATCAATCTTAGACTTGTTTCTATAGATAGAGATGGATTTATTTGTTCAGTAGTGTTATATACGACACCGGTGTCGTACTTCCTTATATACGACACCTTCCATTTCTTGGCCCACAGGGCTCCAATCGGCGTACAACAAAATGCGCTGTGTAGCCACGGCCCGCAGCTATCAGCCCATACCATTTTGGGTCAAATCG